GTGGGGAGCTGAGTTAGTGCCTGGGCTTGGTGTCCTTGATTGATTGAGGGTCATCTTAAGACCATTTCCCCAGAAACTGGCAAGTGTGTTATCTACGGCCCTAGAGGAGAGGGGCTCCACAAACACTTTCTCTCAGTCTTGGGGGTGACGAACTGATAACGGGTGAGCAGAGCTAGGCCTCTAATCTACAGCCATTAGGTCACTGGGGGAACTTTTACAATTTAGAGCCATTAGGCCACTCTGATGGTTTTATGCATTTAAGGCCTCTTAATGAAGCTCATGGTTTTCTTGAGGTTCGCATATTCTATCAAATACCCCTTCAAAGTACACCCCCAGGAACATAACTTCCTTCTAGGCGTCCTGAAGGTCTCACCACCTCTCAACAGTATCACATACCTGTGATCAAACTTTGAGGGACATTTAAGATCTGAACCCTGAGACCCACACAGACCCTTTCCTATGAAGGAGGGAAACAGGTTAAGATGGGAAGTGTTTAAGGCCACCCAACTGTCAAGAAGCCTGGCCATCTGCCAGCTAGTCTCCTCCACTGAGCACTCTGATGGCTGAGGCCGACTATGGGGAGGCAGCGGGTCTTTGGATTCCAGTACTCTGGGTCTTATAGTTTTTTTTTTTTTTTTTGCTTTCAGTGAACACAGAAATGCTCATTTCAGTAAATGGAAGTGGTCACCTGATAAGGCTGATGCTGAAATCCCCCACAGACTTTTATTTGCTAATTACATACAACATAAAACTTAAATAGTCCCCAAGCCATGGCCAGGCCTTAGCACCCTTCTTCACTGAGATTGCTCCCTGTATTTGCCATTAAAATCTTGGTTCTTACACCAGATCCTTGAAAATTAACCCAGGCAGAAACACAGGGGATACACATCCCTCTGCACATACCTCACATCACACCTGCAGCAGCAGGAACAGGATGGATTGACCCTGGGCCAGTCCCTTCTAGCTCCTGTCTCAGGTTTCCTGATCTCATTTTGGGGTGCTGGGAGGCAGATCAGTGACAGAGCATGTGCTCAGCATGTGAGGCCCTAGATTCAATCCCTAGCACCAAAATAAATTCTTTTGGAGATAGACTATTTCAGAAAAATATCAGTATCTGCTTGCTCTGTGGGCTGCCTGCCTACCTATGCTGAAGACTCCGGCATTCAGTGTTCAATGTGAATTTTCCTTCTCTTTTCTCTTGGGTTCCAAGACAGATCACAGATCAATATGAGTCAAGAAGAAAACAATGGACAGTCAGCTCAGCTGTTAAGAGCACATACTACTCTCGTACAGGGCCTGGGTTCGGTTCTTGGCACCCACATCAGGCAACTCACAACTACCTGTAACTTCAGCTCCAGGGAATCCCACGCCCTCGCCCTCGTCTAGCCTCCATATGCACCTGTACTCATGCAACCCCCACCCCCATACCATTTGCCTTGGGATGCAGCTCTTTCCTTTAAAAGGCTGGGGTCTGTGTCTCATCCTTCCCTTATGGTTTTGTGTAAGAGACACTTTGTGCAATTGAATTGTATTGTAATAGAAATTATACCAGCCCCATCTGTGATAGTTAATCTCGATTAACAATCTGTATCTGGAATCACAGAGGAGACACCTCTGGGCATATCTGTGAGAATGTTTCCAGAGATGTTTAACTGAGGGAAAACCCACCCTGGGCCTGGGCATCATCAGCCCACCAGCTGGGGTCCCCAACTGAATGAAAAAGAGAAAGCAAGCCAAGCGCCAGCATTCCCCTTCTGCTCCCTGTGACCAGCTCCTCGCACTCCTGTCACCAGGCTTTCCTTCTGATGGACTGTATCCCCTCAACCTTGAGAAAAAAAATAGAATTTTCCATTAGCTTTTGTCAAGTATTTTGTCACAGCAATGAGAAAACTAGCTAATACAGCATCCCAGCCAGTCTCAAGAGGTGTCTGTGCCTAGACAGTCACCGTGCCACCAGCTGGAGGAGAGGCACATGAAGCAAGGCTCTCCTGACTAAGTCAACGTCAATTAACCGACTGCTAGACTCAAAGCATAATCAGTTGGCTGGGAATTGTTATGCAGAAACAGCAAACTGATACATATACTACAAACCTGAGCTTATGAGTATTTTATAAAATCTCTTTTAGAGTGACAACTAAAAAAAGTAAACATTTATATTTTATTTTTATTTTATATGGACTAGTATATTGCCTGCATGTAAGATCACCCATGCTGTGTAATGTCCACAGAGGTCAGAACTGCAGTTACAGATGGTTGTTAGACACCATGTGGGTGCTGGGAATGGAATCTAGGTCCTCTGCAAGAGCAGCCAGTGCTCTTAACTACTGAGCCATCGCCAGTAAACATTTAGAGGGAGGAAATATGAGTGACCAACACTCTTCATAGCATCAAAGAATTTTAATCACTCATAAAATGCTGTCTTTCTACCTACCAAATCAGCAAAGATAAACATACACTCATGGCAGCAATATTATGTGTTGGCAAGGATGAAGAAAACAGAAGCATTCAGCTGGTGTGTAAATTGGCACAAGGCTTTGGAAATTAATTTAGTCTTGTAAAAATTGATGAGTATATCCTTTGACACAGTAATTCTACTCCTTGATACATACCCTAGAGAGGCTCTGACCCTGCACCTACACCAGTCAGTTTCATGGTACCATACTGAAATGTCAGAGGCAATGAACATAGAGAAAGGGTCCTATTTGTGACTGAGTGACCATTACTTGCAGCTCTGGCAAGGACAGTACCTCATGAGAGGGAAAGCATGAGAGAGCCAAACTACCCACATCATGACCCAGAAAGTAAAGAGATGGGACCAGCTAGAGTCTCACATCTTTTCAATTTGTTTTTAGGCAGTTTTACTAGGTAGTCCAGGCTAGCCTTGAATTTTATTATCCTCCTGCCTCTGCCTACTGAGTTCTGGGATTATGAGTGCATACCACCAAGCCAGACTACCACTATCTTTGACAGCACACTTCCTATGGCCCAAGGCCTTTCCACAAGACCTCATCTCTCAACAGCACCACTTAGTGGACCAAGCCTCCAATACATGGCATGTTGAATGTCCATTCAACATCTGAGCCACAGCAGCCTCAGGTGGAGATGTTGCCCAGCGTATGGTTCACAAGAGCAGGACTCTGAAACAACATACTTGCCCAACAATAGGGAACGAGATTTTACACTGAAAAGCAGCTCTGTGACCAGAGGTGGTTTCAACTGAGAAAAAGCAAAATTCTGGATGCTGCAGATACAGCCACAGTTGGGAAACATTTTAAAAGAACTGAAAACAATGCTCTATTTGTTGATGCTCATTTCTGTTTTGTTTGAGACAGGGTCTACCTCTAGCCCATGCTGATCTAGAACTCACTATGTAGCTGAGGCTGGCCTCAGACTCACAGCAATTCTGTGTCAGTCTCCTAAGTGCAAGGGTTACAGGTGGGAACTACCATACCTGGCATACATTAATAATAAAAGTTGCTTTGGAAATACACGGTCCATATTCGTTAGTTAATAAGAGGAAAGGGAAGGAGAAAGTAGACAGAAACTAAATGAGATTTAAGCCACAGGTTTCTGTCTGCTTAAGGAAGAAGGAAAAAAACCAAAAAGCATCAAAACCAATATCCAAAAAGAAAAAAAAAAATCAATGAAGTTCAGAGGCTTAAGCCCCTTGCCCACAGTGAGAGGTGGCCACCAAGTCTATTATTCTTTGTACTTTTCTGTGACATTTTCTTATGAAAAATTTTAATGTTGAATTTTATTAAACATTTTCAATCACTTTATGACTATTTTTCTTGTGAAAAAAAATTTCCACATTAAATGTTCTTTTTTTTTCTATGAGCTGGTGAGATAGCTCAGTGGATAAAGGCACTTGCTGCCAAACCTGACGACTGGAGTTTGATCCTCAGTACTCACATGGTGGAAGGAGAGATCAGTTTGTTCAAGTCGTCCTCTAACCTCCACAAATAATAAATAATAAAACATCCCTATTTGCTTATGAAAATATTTGGTTGCCTCGCCTTTTGGGCAAGCAATCCTCAGTAGCTGCATACTGCCTAACTACGGACCCATGCCAGCAGCGGTGAGCAGCCACCCCATTCTCCCACATGGTGCCTGCAAGTGGGCTCATCTGGGATGGGAAGGCAGCTGCTGAGACTCACCTCCCCATCCCACCACTACAGGTCTTCCTTAAGGTGTCCATGGCAGAATCTCAAGACCTCCTACAGCAGGGGCACAGCACAGACTGCTGCATTCCTACCAGCACTGTTGGCCAATGCAAGTGACATGACCAACACCCACCCTCTCAGGGTGGAAGTTCCTTCAAACACTCTGGAGAGGCTGCATACAAAGCAGGGAGCCCAGGAGCTGAAAAACAGGATGCAGTCTGCTACCTGCTTCATGGGGCAGCCACCAGAAATGCCACTCTGCAGGTGAGACTACTGCAGCAAGGTGGGCCTGCATTCCTGTCACCCCCAAGTTCTAGGTATCTCCATCAGCTCAGACCCTACTGCTCACCCTGGGCTCATTTTGGACCCAAGACAAAAGGTTTCCAGACAGTGCACATCTGCCCAACAGGTAAACATGCAGACACAGAACAAAACCTTAAGGGTTAATTTTTGGCCAAACTTAATTCTAGAGGAAAACACCTCTGCAATATTGTATTCTCAGTGCTAACGGGTGCTAAAAGCATTTTCTGGCACCTTTAGGGAGGGAGATGAGCTGCTAGGCTAGCTTAGGAACCCAGTCAGGCTGTGTGGGTCCCTCCCTTGGGGTTGTATTACTGCAAAGATCTGGCCATGCGCTTTGAAAGGCTGCTGGCCCTGGGGAGAGGGAGCTGAAAAGCCAGCTCCATTAGGTCCCATGTCCCAGGGAGTGGGGGGCAAAGGGAGGAAACCTACCACCCCCAGGAATCAAGGTGCTCAGGAGACACTGAATTTTTTTTTTATCTGGAAAGAGCAGAGACAGTCAGCTTCCTTACATTTAGGGTCCCTGAAAGATCACAGGCCTGCCCACTCCATTGCCCTCACTAGCCACAGGCCACAAGTGGCTCTGTCAAGTCCAGCTGTGGGGATGATGGGCTGTCAGCTGAGCTTTCCAAGAATGCCTTCAGTTCTTAGAAGACAGGAGAGTCTCCGTCTCTGCTCTTCTGGACACTACCACCACTGGATATGCTGTGCGGCTTGGATCCTGGCAGTCACCTCCAGCTCAGAGGGGGGCTTGCCTAAGGGGAAGGCCAACATCTCCAGTGCTGTGTCAGGAAGGCCTGTGCTTAGCATTTGACACCTTCCTGTGTATAAAGTCCTGGGAAACTAAGAGAATCGCATCTATTACTACTCCGAATGAGCTCCTCCTTGGAAGGGGAGTGAAACCACAGGAGTGGTCACAGAGGTCCCTGGGCTGAAAAAGGACCGTCTCAAGTCAAAGCCTGCATGAGGGAAAGAGCAGGAGAGGGTAGAGCACAGGGAGACAGGAGCACATGGGAACAGTCTACTGGCGACTCATTTGCTGTGTCTGGTGGTTGGGGTGGGGCTGGGTCAGGCAGAGTGAAGAAGCAACTCCTAGCTCCAGGGCAGGGTGCCCAAGAGGGAAGTGGCATTGCTAGAGATGAGAGGAAGGGGCTGGTAGGGCCTGAAGCTGCCAACCTGGGGCAGGCTACCTGCTTCTCCATGACCCACCTTGCCACTCCTGGGAACCCACAGAACTGGCCTGATACAGGCATCTGGCTCAGCTAGGTGGACTGGGAGGAGGGCAGGCAGGGTGTCAGAGAGCCAGTTCTTTGGGGAGAGGGAGGCAGAGGCCCTGGCCTGTGGAAGAACAGCTCTGGGCAGCAACACGAAGATTGTAAGGGGGAAGTCAGACATTTCAGACAACACTGAAGGAAGGAAGGAGACGGGAGTATGACAGGTGCCCAAGAGGACTGGGTGGCACCAGTGACAGTGGGGGGACTGCCCTGGTCTGAGGTGGGATGGGAGGCCCTGTTGCCAGAGGGGAGGGAAGTGCACCAAGGGACTCCCAGGCAGAGACAGGACCCCAGCAACTACCACACCCTTAAGAAACTACACACAGCTTTATTAAGCAAACCCAGAGAAGGCTCCATGACAGCACCAGTGTGAGTGTGAGTGGCAGGCCAGGCACAAGTCCTCTGTGCCCAATTTCAGAAAAGTCCATCCTGTGGCCCAGCCCTAAAGGACACAAGGGAACACACATGGCCTTTACGGCTGACCAGACTCTTGGTGATGTAGTGCCCACACATGTCTACTTTGGAGCACGTCTCTGGATCTCTCTGAGGGTGCAGCAGCATCTGGGGCTAGAACAGAGGGCGACGTCCCCACAGTGAGATGGTAAACAGACACAGGCAGGGGAAGGTGGTGTGCTGGATAGCTTTGGCTGTCAACTTGACACACCTGGGAAGAGGAAACCTCAACTGGGGCATTTCCTCTGGTTGGAGTGGCCTGTGGGCATGTCTATGGGGGTATTTTCCTGATTGCTGAGTGATGAGGGCCTAGCCCATTCAGGGTGGTACCACCCCTGAGCAGGTGGTCCTGGGTTGTATAAGCAAGCAGGCTAAGTGCAGGCCAGGGAAGCAAGCCAGTAAGGAGCATTCCTTCATGGCCTGCGCTCCAGGTCCTGCCTCTAGGTTCTTGTCCTGGCTTCCCTCAAGCATGGACTGTGATCAGAATGTATAAGTCAAATAAAACCTTCCTTCCCCAAGTTGTTATTGGTCAGTATTTCATCACAGTAGAAACCAAACTAGGGCAGGAGGTTTCTGAGTTGTCTTCCCAAGGCATCTCCTTCTGTCCCTGGCCCAGCTAGGTGAGCTGGTAGCTGGAGAGGAGGGAAGAGGAGGAACGAGTGGGTTGAGGCTCAGATCTGCTGAGGTCCTGGGTGTCTTGCAAAACAGAAGAGTAGGTCACATTGGGTCTCTGAGCTGCACCAGTCACAGCAGCTTCTCAGAACAAATCAACAGGACAGAAGATCCCTGCTAGAGGCAGCAGGGTAGGGCCTGCGATGCTCCTGGCTATCCTCAAGACATCTGAGGACCTGATGAAGGACACAGAGCACTGCTCTCTGACATGTCAGCAGCAGAAGCCTTTCAGCTGGATGTTCCACCAGCAACACAAAACTGAAGACTTCGCAGGGGTCTGAGACAGAAGCCACTGTGTGTTAGCTTGGAGACTCCCACAAAAAGGCTCAGCAAGCATGAGGTTCTGAACGCAGCATCATGCCTGCTTGTCCCCCACATTTCCCAGTAGCAGTGGGACCAGGAGAGAAGTTTTCACAAGGCAAAAAACTCACAAAGGGGCAGGGGGTATGGCCCAGTGGTAGAGGACTTGCCTAGCAGGCATGAGGCCTTGGGTTCCATGCCCAGCACCACACGAAACCCCCAGAGTCATGAGAGAATACTTTCCCTGAGATCATTACAGTGATGTCATCTGTAGAAAACATGGAAACAGCTTCCAGCTGCTCAGAGCCGTGAGCAACAAGTGAGCCTCAGCAATACTGGAAACAAAACAAAACAAAACATGGCTAAGCAGTGCCCCAAATCCTGGATGCCACACAGGAAGGAAGGGGCCAGGACGTCCTGACTTTCAAGACTTGGAAGGAGATTTTAAAAGCAAAAAACTTAAAACCCTGCACATGCGAATTGGGAGGCAGCTCAGCACAGCCACGGCAATGAGGATGGCCCAGGGCCTCGGAGCAGGTTGGTGCCCCAGCATGAATTCAGGGCGACCCTGTCATTGAGGTGTTGGTGTACTTGTACAGCAGCACCAGCCCTGTACACCGGCTAGTGGGAGGCATAGGCTGGGCTCCAGAGCCCCGAGGGAGGACTGGCTTTGTGACCACGAGGCACTGTGTTGAAAGAGGGTGGTGTCGTCGAGGCAAGATCTAGGAAGGAAAGGGGAAGTGAGTACAGAGCAATAGGAGCTGGACAGTCCTCACAACATTCATCAGTCAAAGTAAGTATCTAAGTGCTTGCAGCAAACCAAGGGCTTATTCCTAAAGATACCCCAAGGCCTTCCAGACCAGCAGAGGGAAATTGACACAGGGGTGGGGAGGCAAGGTAGCTGTGCATCTGTACCTAGCAACCTTCCATGTCTCCTGATTCCTATTTGAGGGGTCTCTATCCAATAAGGAATTTATGAACTGGAGTCAGCTAAGCATGTGGTGGCTGCAGACAAGCTTCACAGAGATCTGTAGAGTTTCTGAAGGATAAAAGTATGGTTGGTCCCTGGGGCCAAGACTCCATACATCTACTCACCCTAGAGTATGACCCCTCCTTGAGTTCAGAGCCTGGCAGAGTTTCAGGTCTTAGAACATGTGGTGGCACCCGTCCATGGGGCTGGTAAAATGGAGAGACCAGACCTCTTGGGCAGAGTGCTATGGCAACAAGGGTCTGGAAGCAGGCAAAGAGCTCTTTGGGGGACTACACAAAGATCTCAGCTTGACTGCAACAAATACTGGGAGGGAGGGGTTAGAATGGGTAAGAGCCAAAGCCATGAGGGCAGTCAGCAGTCAGGAGCCAGCAGACTGGGAAATCATGAGTTCTGCCTTTAAGACATGAGACAGTGGGAAGAAGCTCTGATTCAGGGACCCAGGGTGTGTGTGGGGTCTTCAAAAAACTCCATGGGTTTGAAAGGATCAGTAGACACCAGTTCAAGGGCTCTTTATGCAGGAGCCAGACTGTCAGATGGGAATCAGGAGACAAAGGGCTGTTGTATACAGGTACACAGGTAGGACACTACAGTTTCAGAGGATACCACTCTCTGAGAGAGGTGCCCAGGAGATGTATAGGGTGACCAGGACCTTGGGCTACCAGAGACAAATGAATCATTTGAATTCTTCTCCATGGGGGAAATCTCAGTCCTGCCTGGAATCTTCACCCTTCAACCCTAGCTTGAGCCCTTGGCAGTAGCCCTGTCAGTCCTGGCATGCATCTGCTCAGACAGAGGTCCTTTTGCTGGCTCCTCCAACCTTATACAACCTGCTGGGAAGACCTCACCAACTTTGGCCTAGCACCTAAGTTCATGTGACCTCCCCCAATCCCAGATCTGTCCCTGGGACCCTAGGGCTTGCCCCAGCTGCTTCTTTTGCTCTGACGGAGGCTGTTGAGCTTGGGATTCAGGGCCCAGATCCCACCCCTGCACCAGGGGCTTTTTCTCTTTTGTGGCAGCTCTCCCAGGCTGTGCCTAACGCTGAGGTACTCACAGTGGGAGCTGTCCTGAGGGCTGGCATGAGGTGTGAGGGCTGGGGGTGTAGCGCGCTCCCGGGGTGCACAGACTGTATGGTAGGCTGCAAAAGCACAGGCTGGTGAGGGTGGGTAGGGTGGGAGGGTTAGGGTACAAACAGGGAGATGGAGCCAGCCTCACCTATGATAGTGACTGCTGTCCCTGCCAGCAGGGCGAAGAACGTGAAAAACATGACCTGGTAGGAGTCCAGGAAGTGCGACAGGAGGCTGGCTCCATCTGCATCAGGAGAAAGGTGGTCAATAGATAACCATGGCCACAGCCAGAGCCCCTCAGTACTATGCTACTAGGCATCTATCTGCATGGTACCTCCCAGACCTACTGCCTAGGGACCGACCCAAACCTGTCTTAGATGTGAGGGTGGGGTTTCTGAGAGCTAGTTGTCCAGACAAGGGCAGTATCTCGCATTGTCAACCTGGGGATTCTTCTATTCTTCCTTAGGCCACCTGGGTCCACCCTGCTCTGCCCAGACTCAGCTTCTTTCCAGGAAGTGGTCCTACGTGCCAGCATAGCACATCAAATTTCGGTACCCATTATGCCAGAGAGGCAGCCAGGTTGCCTCCAAAGCAAGGAGGGCTTTTCTCAAAATGGCCTGTGGGCTTTAGAGGATGAAGGATTGGTGGGTTAGAAGCTCACAGGACAGAAGCCCCTGTTCTGACTCTTTGCCTTGAGCCCTGCTGCCCAAAGCTCCCAGACCCTAACCTGTCAGTACTAGTCTCCATTCATCTCCCACTGCTCTCAGGAGGTGATAGTGATTGAGGATGCCCCTCCTGTCCCCTGTAATCTAACCTCAACAGGGCAGTCAGATCTGATTCCATCCCTTCCCTTCACTATGCAGGAACCCCTCCCCTAGCTACTGGCCCTTGGTCTGTACCCTGTCCCTTTGTAGTTCTATCCTCTACATGCCTGTTTGTGGCTGAGACAGGGTGGAAGCCTTGATAGGTACAGGTCAATGACTACAGGACAAGCCCAGCACTAAGCTGGGCGGGAAGCTTCTGGTGTCAGGTGGGCTGAGTGCTATCCTCATGCAGGACTTCTTGGGGCAGTTGGGCAGGAGTCCAGGTGGTAAATAATATTACTTATACACAGGCTGAGTGTCTGAAAGTGAGGTTCTAATCTTCAGTGTTAACTAAGAAATGATACTTGAAGGATAGTTTGCAGAAGCTGAGGGTGCTAGTCAATGGGTTATCTGGGGTAACAGCACCCTCAGTAGGGAAAAGCGATGAAAATGGTTGAAGTTGGGGGCCATCTGTGTTCTAGTAACAGGCAGGAGGTCAGTGCTGGAGCAGGGAGTGCAGCGGGGGTGAGTCACAAATAGACAGGAAAGGCCCATATGGCTCTCAGGGGTCACAGTGGGGATGTGGGTTCTGCCCGAGGGATACGGAAGCCATGGCAGGATGTTAAGCAGAGGGCCTTACTGAGAATGATGGGGCGGAAGCAATGTGTACATGCCAATGGCAGCAAGAGATTGTCCCCTCCAGGGGTGTTCCACATTTCTTACTCCCCCAAACCTCACACTGCAGGTATCCACTGACACCCAAGCCCCTCTAGTCTGTCTCTTCCTACCCAGGTCTGGCTCAGTTGATGCCACCTCCCATGACTCACAGGGACCAGGCCCACGACGATCCATCACGAAGGCCACGGTGACTGGAATGGTGATGGCCTGGTTAGTGGCAGGGCTGGAGAAGGTCAGGGAAGTGGACAGAGGCCCCTGGCTACCAGCAGTGGGATCGGAGACACCAACTGTGTATGTGATGAAGCTGGGCAGCCCGAATGACTTCTCCTTCATGAAGGCTAGCACTGCGGGGGACCCAGATTTCACCTGGGGAAGAGGCAGGGCTAAGGCAGCTTGCACTGCAGAGGCTGAACCACAGACACCCAGCCCATCTCTGGACATGCCCTGCTAGCCAGACGACATGCTCAACTTCCCTCCCAGGGCCAGGTGGTATATGGCCCACATTCAAGGTCTGTTAAGGAGGACAGACTGGTATCATTGAGCTCTGGTCAAGCATAACAACATGAACATCCTAAAGTAGCACCAAACACCAAGTCCCCATGGGAGCAGCAGGCCGCCTCATAACAACTGCACACTCACTCCTGGTCCCTCATGAGCAGTAAGCTGCAACAAGACAAGAGAAGCAGGCAACCCAGCCATGATTCTTCCATCCTAACACCAGAGCTTTCTCTGAAGGCCTGCTGGACTGAAGCCTAGAGACCAGTCATATACCACTAGCCTGGAGAGAGGAGGCCTGTCCCCACAGGGAGCAGGGCATTGCTTCTTATTCCATGTTGACGAGTGTTCCCTGACTAAGCATTTACTGAGCACATTCTATTATGTGCTGTCCTGACAGGCCTGATTTTTGGATGTAATGAATGAAAATCATACAAGTAGGCAGAGGACTAGACTACAGAGTATACAAGAAAGAACATCTAAAACTATTTCAAATTTTTACTTTCTAATTTAATTTTTAACTTTGAAGAGACCCATGAGGGCATATGTGTTTTCCCATTCTCTGGGCCTTTAATGATACCTTAACCCTAACCCAAACCCCTATCCCACCTCTAAGCCTAACCCATAACCCCAACCTCTAGCTCCAACCTTAATCCCTAACCCCAACCCTAATTCCTGGCCCCCAACTCCTAGTCAACCTTTAAACCCTAACCCCAAGCCCTAAATCCAACTTTTAACCCTAACCCCAGCCTCTAACCCTAACTTCAGCCTGCAACTCCAACCTCTAACCTAACCTTAACTTTAAGCCCTAATCCCTAATCTCAACCTATACCACTAAAACCCAACCTCTAACCCTAACCTGTAATCCCAACCTTAACTTCAACCCCTAATCCCTAGCCCTTACCCTAAACCCTAGCCTCTTGGTTTGCACCTTACTTGCAGCAACTGACCAATACTCACTTCCAAGTTCTCCAGCGTCTCCATGGCACCAAAGACTTTGACCTCAGAGCTGGTGTAGTGGTTACTCAAGAGAATTTCTGCCTGGTTGGCATAGAGCCCTGGGCTGAAGGGAACCTCGGCCCCCACTTTCTCTGCAAATGCATGGCTGCTGGGGATGGAGGCAGAGACCACCAGCATTGTCTTCTTCATGTTCAAGTGCTTCAGCTGCTTGTCTGTCAGCCTGTGCATTGTGACCAAGCAGAGATACTGGCCTGTGGAGACAAGACTTGTTCCACACATGCATGGATGCTTCTCTCCCCCTATTGCCTTAGCAGGGAAACTCCTATACCTACTTGAGACTCCTATACATACTTCTTCCAGAAGCCTCCTAGGAATGCCCCTTCAGAGGCCCTGGGCCAGCCTGGACATCCTGTCTGTGATCAATAGTCCTCTCATTACCTCAGAACCCTCTATTCGCCAGATCTATCTGAATAGTTTTGGGGGGAGGAAGCATGTTGGGGCCAGCTTTATGACAGGCACAGGACTGGATACTGGGCTAAAGGTCAAGCTAGACCTGACTCCAAGATGCCCAGATGTGGTAGGAAGCCCTGTGGACTGTGGCTATCTAGGTCCTGTTCTGTTCTCAGTGCCTGGCCCAGGGCATAGGTGCTAAGTGAAATGAGCAGGACCTTGGGCAGTTCAGCAATCCAGAATCTGGGTGCCTGGGCCAGACCCTGTCCATGATAGAGCAGCTGTGGGTTCCTGAATGAGTTAACTCCCTTGCTGACACTCAGCAAGGGCATCCTCTATGCTAGATGCTGGATGAAGGCCTGAGTGTGCCCCCGGGATGAATCTGCAGTCTCTCAGCAGTATCTCCTGCCATGCAGTAGGGCCAGACAGGCTTACCAGCCCAGGGTGCTGGCTGTCAGGCCAACTTCTCTGGTCTCCTGTGCTATGGAGCAGCTGTGCTTCAAAAGGCTTTCATATAGTCCAGAATTACTATGGTGTCAGTCACCTCTCACTTGCTCCACATAGGGAGGAATGGGGGGCACCATCACCATCTTTCCACAAAAGAGGCTTAATAAGAGGGCAGCCTCCACTCGTAGCCAAGTGCTGGGATTATGGAAGATTATGGTGCTGAGCTCTGCAATGTGTGGCTAATGCCACAGGCCACTTCCTCCTGGCAGCCATGGGACAGTAGCAGAGGTTGTAGCCTGGGAACACTCTCAGGCTGGACTCTCAGCAATTTCTCCCTGTCTGGACATATGGCCACTGTGAGATACACACTATGACCCCAGGTGCCCAGCATGAAGACTCATTGCACTTTCAATTCTTTGAAAATTTACCCAGAATAGTGTCAAACCCCGGCTCCACAGTGAAGACATCATGTGCAGGGAAATCGAAGACATCTTGCTTGAACTGGAGCTGACAGTCGAGGAGGGATTCTGGGTGCAAGGTCTCAATGACTTCTCTCTGGGTAGTGGAGCACTCACCTAAAGTTGGGGGGACAGGTGAGAAGGGCCTGGGCCAGGCACAAAGGCCACCACACCCAGACCCATATAGAATGAGGAAACGGCCCCATGGAGACTGGGCACACACAAATGACACCTGTGCCTCATACTCTTTCCCTGCAGGGAGCCCAGGACTGCCCAAAGCTTGGTGAAGGGACTATGTCTTTTATAAACGGCAAGGACCATGATCTAGAGTATGGGTCACTATGACTATCAGAGTCACTTCAGATGAGAATTTTGGCATGCACTGAGGGCGTGGCGACAGGCAGCTCACTAATGCACAGCCCTGCTACAGTCAGCAGGGAGAATGGCCATTTGCTTCAGGAAATGAGGAGGAGGGCAGAGGCTCTCCACAAGCACACTGCACATCATTTTGGCAACAGCAGAATAGTGGCCCCTTGCACCAAGGGAGGAAGATAGCACTGCTACAGTGTAATAAGCATGCCCATTAATCATGAGAATGGTGGTACTTAATTCATTGCTTAAGTGGTTCAAAAAAAAAAATCCTGTATTGACTTATTTATTTCTGGCACTTGCTGTCCAGAGCTGTCATAAGTAGAGAGTGAGATGGAATGTTCTATGCATGACTCGGGAGAGGTAATTATAAAAATCAAAACCAGCCACCAGTCTGCTATGTCATTCGTTTCCACCATCAATGGCAGTAGACTGCAGCTTGATTCGAGCCCTACGGCTGCAATCACAGCTCTGACTCAGCACAGGCAGCACTTCGGAGATGGGCTCTTATAAAGATACCTTTCATGCTTCTGCTTGTGGAAGCCTCAAAGTTCTAAATACTCGAAGGAGTCAATGAACTGGGGCTAAAGGCTCTCTCTGGAATTGGTAAGTCTGACTAAGAGAAGCATACCCCTGTATGACTCGGTGCTACAGCACTTGCCTATGGTATGGAAAGCCCTAGATTCCATTTCCAACACCACAACACCACCACTAAAAAACCCTCAACAGAATAAACCCATCCAAAGGGCACAGATGACACCTCCCAACTCCCAAGACTGGCAAGGCAAGCCCATACACTCAGAGCTAGTTCATTCTGTACCAAGCAAGTTAGAATTTCTGTCTCCCACGCTGACAGCCACTTTGGAGGCTGTGGCCTCTTGGATGCTGGTCTGGGCAGAGTGGAGGCGACGAGCCACAATCCTCTGAGGGGCGCTGACCATTATCTAGGGAAGCAAGGGAGGTGTGTTGTACACTGGCCATACACTGGCCTATGCTGTGTGTCTTCAGGACCTCAACTGCAGCTTGGATCATCCATATTCCAGGCAACAAACCTAATGAACTCACAGCTTAAACATCTGGCTGGTGTGTGGCAGACGGGGCCAAGACTGGACACCCCAACTCTCCCACCCCATGAAACAGAGCCAGAGCTGACAACAAAGCCTGGGTGAACTTCAGAGCTGGAGCCCAACAGCAGAGCTGGGGCCACTAGCAAGGCTGGGGTGGACAATATGGCCAGGGCCAGCAGCCTCCTGCCATCATCTTTGTTCTACTCACAGATCTGGGTTAACCAATCTTGCCATGAGGACAGAGGATCTACTTTAGCTATCTGTTATTCAGAACGGATCAATTTGAACCAAGAGCCTAGAGAACAAAGGCCCCAGAAGCCAGTCTGCTCAGAATGCCCTACATGGTTTGCCTTGTCCATACTCAAACCCATATGCAGGCCTTCTGCTGGGATGTTCCTCTATCCTCCTTGGAAATGTCTGCAGGCCCAGTGCCCCTCTGTGGCTAGAAGGCCAACCACTGTCTCTGACTGGGTGGTATCTGCATTGAGGGCCTCTCTCAGCAGAAGGGGCTGGGGGTTTCCTCTGCGGCCCACTCTGGCCTTAGCAAGCTACCACTGTCCTGCCTCCTCCCAGGAGCAGCTGCCGTCCTGAGGAACCAGTCAGGCGCTCACCACTGCCTTCCTTGGCTTTGGCTGCCATTTCCTGACAGATCTTTTCTTCTCTCCTCCTGGCCACCATGCTGGGTTTTCTCCCACTTTCTCCTCCTCTACCTGGCCTGCTCCCACTATATACACACCCATGCCCTGTCTCAAAAAAAAAAGAAGCCCACCTCAGCTCCAGCTTTCAGCAAGAGTTCACTCACCTGCCTAACTGTTCTCTACCACCTGACCTGGAGGAATGGATACCCATCTCAAATCCTCCACCACCCCATTCACTTAGTGTCTAGCTCCACCTACACCCCCCAATCTCTGTTCTTCTCTCAGAGTAAAGAACATCACTTGCCAGACCATCTATGTAAACCCTGAGCACTCACTCCAAGTCTTCCTCCCCACCAGTTCATTAGTTGGTCATCCCAAGTGACTCTACAACTACATGCCCTTGAGCTACATCATTCTGATTTAAAAACAAAGTTCCATCTAGTGTGGAGTAAGCATCCCCTTCTGCCCTCAAATAGTAACAATGGCTAATACAGGAGGCACTAAGTACCATTCTACCTGCATTCCACATTAGCTCACTGTGCTAAATCACAGTACCATCTCCATCTCTTGGGCACAGAGGTTAGAGAACTTCCCCAGTGGCTGATCTTGGATCTGAACCCAGACAGCATGACTCAAGGGCCAGGCTGCCTAGAACTCCTTGGCTGCTGTGATCCTCCCACCTCAGCCCCTCAAGGAGCTGGCACTACAGGTATGGTCCTAGCTGAGGTCATACCCTTAAACCACCACACCCAACTGCCCAGCCTCTAGGGCATTTCATGATCTGCCAGCTCATCCCTGGGTTCTGCTCTAGAACCCCGAATAGCTTAGCACCTGCTGTCCCAATCTTCTAATCATTCTCAGAAGGATTTCCCGGGAAAGCAGAGCTTTATTAATCAGAATATCTCTATCTGCAGCCACTAGCCCAAACCACAGCACTAAATATGCAAACTATTAGGTTAAACTGCTGGATTCGATAAAGCACACACTGGCTCTAAAAATGAGACATGTTTGGAACTCAGCCAGACTAGGCTCATTGATATTCTCAGCTGGAGAGAAATACGAGAAAGGGTTTTGTTCATCTTCATAAAGGTTCAGGTGATTTTGCTGGTGATGCCAAATCTCTGGGCTGCCCAGTCTGTGGTTTGAACTCTTTTAGGGACACGCCCATCCCAGCCGCTGCATGGCCATGCTGGCTGCCAGCCACGTGTCTGAGAACTGGAATCAACCGGCCAGGTCTCCTCTTCTCATCATTCCTGTCTGGACATGGGGGTAAGAACAGGGGACCAGTTCCTATCTCACACTTAGTGGGTGGCTGATCTTCCTCCATCCTGACAGCTGCAGACAGTTCAGGCAGGTGGCCTGGGTATTTGTTTTTTAAAGAAGAGGGACTCACAGGTACAACCAGCTTCTATGCCTGCTGGTTCCACAGTCTTGGATTTAACCTACAGCAGATCAAAAATATTCAGGGGAATGTGAGAGAGAATGGAGGATGGGGGTGGGAAGAGTTGGAGGAGGGAGATGGAAGGGTGGAAATGAGGTAAATACAATACTCGTATGAAATTCTCAAAAAACATTAAATTAAAAAAATGTTCAGGGGGAAATTGCATTTGCATTGTGCAGGGACAGACGTTCCCTAAACAATACAGTCTAACAATCCCACAGCATGAGCATCAGTTGGTTGTTATAAGTAATCAGAGGTGGTTTCAAGCACAAGGAAGGAAGCAAGCAGGCACCTGGAATGCTGATACTCTGGAGATTCAGTTCGAGGCCAGCCTGGGCTACAAAGTAAGACATTCTCCCTCCCCCACCTAAAAGCAAGCAAGCAAGCAAGCAAACCCCAAACAAAACAAAGTAAACAGGAGGTACCCAGGTCTTATGCCATTGCGTAGAGATTTGAGCATCTGCAGATTCTGGTACAAAGTCAGGCAGCCAGTCCCACTGGGACATGGGTGTGTTTACTTGCTTGTTTATTTCTGAGACAGTCTCACTACATAGCCTAGGCTGGCTTTAAACTCGAGATGATCCTCCTGCCTCAGTCTCCTAAGTGCTACAATGAGTCCCCATGCCTGGTTGTAGAGTACACAGAGTATTCAAAATTTCACCTCCAATAGGGTTGGCCACACTTGCTTCTGGCCCTCAAGTCCTACCTCCTTGAAGGTCTTCAGATGTCCAGCAATCTCATAGTAAACTGTTACAGAGCCTGCATCTTGGGCCACAGCCACGCCTGTCTTGGGGTCAATATGGAGGATGTTGCTGGCTGAGGAACTCCAGGTCCCTGAGACACCTGGAAGCGTAAGCCCAGACACTATACATCTTATTCACATCTGGATACCCCTGCCAAAGCCTAGCTCCCCAGTCTGCTGCCTGAGGGGTCTCTATCCTCAGTCTCAGGGAGGAATGCACATAGGCACATCTACAGTTGGCTCTGCACACTTCCCCCACCCTCCTAGCTCTAGTCCCTGTAGCTCTCCTGCTGCACCTGCTCTCTGAGGTGCTGGATCCCCCTGCCCACATCGTCCCCACTCTTTTGGTTTTCACATGAAGCTTTACTGACTCCCTGGTCTGGGATAGGCTCGGTGCTGTCCCTCCAGGACCCTCCTCATCCCTTGGCATTGTCAGCTCCTTTTCAGCAACACAGCAAATCTTACTGGTGATATGTTAATAAAAACAATAAATCAGGGCTGGAGAGATGGTCAGTGGTTAAGAACACTGGCTGCTCTTGCAGAAGACCCGGGTTTGAATCCCAGCACCCACATGGCAGCTAACAACTGTCCATAACTCCAGTTCCAGGGTATCTGACAGCCTCTTCTGTCCTCCATGGGCACTGCACGACATGGGTGCACTTACCTACATGCAGGCAATACACACATACACATAAAATAAAAATAATAAATAAAATATTAAAAAAAAACAAAATAATAAATCAGCCCAAACCAGGTGAATATTCATAAAATTATTTGGATTAAATAGATAAAATTTATCTCTGTAAAACATTTGGCTTAGTCATATTTTATAATATGTATATTAGCATATTTTAATTGACTTTAAAAATAAAGACAGTAAAAGCCCAATGACCTCATTCCACCTATGGCAGTTTTCTTTACTTCCTTTTAGTGATGTCTCACTGTAGTCCAGGCTAAGCAAGAACTCACTAAATTGCTCAGGCTGGTCTCAAATTCCTGCCTCAGCATCCCCAGTGCTGGGATTACAGATATAGGCTGCCACACCTGGCTACATTTTTCTTTTTTTTTTTTGGCCTTTTTGAAATAGGGTCTCCCTGTAGCCCAAGCTGACCTGGAACTCACTATGTAGACCACGCTGGCCTTGAATTCACAGAGATCCACTTGCTTCTGCCTCCCAAGTGCTGGGATTAAAGGCGTGCGCCACCACACCCAGCAACATTTGTTCCTCTTTACATAATATTTAATTTCCTTTGAAAATGAATTAATAAGGCTAATGAAAGGGAGTCAACTGGGAAAAAAAAGCAAATATCTATGAGTTACAGGGATGTGTGGGGATGGCTGGGACTCATTTTAGGCTCAGGTGTCCTAGGTGGACACCTCAGGTGCCATGCTGTTTAGTATGTAGCCACTGTCGGTACAATCTATCCAATGACATGTTCAGTCCCCAGCTGCATCATACATAGAAGGACACTTCCACAACAGCAGAAAATTCTGCTGGGCAATGTTGTTCCAGGACACCAACTAGCAGACTTGCTGCAAACCACTGGGCAGTAAACACTGGGCTGCAATGGCCCAAACCACCTCCACTGCTACCTGGCCACAAATGAATGAATGTTGCCAGTAGCAAGCCAGATGTGGCCTTTGGGCAGCATCCTTCAGGCTTCACCTGTATACCTCCCGCAATGTGGCACCAAGTACCTCCCTGGGGAGCTTCCACCCTGGTGGGAGCTGGTGACTCCATAGATTTCTCTTGTCACATCTCTCTTACCTCCCAGGCTGATGAGAGCACTGGCTAGACAGAGGACGTCACCCACCACCACTGCTCCAGAAAGCTCTGGTGTTATGGCCTGCAGGACAGGTAGTGGCACGTAGTCTGAGAGGCCCAGGTGCTCCACGTCCCATGCATGGAGCAGCGTCAGGCCCACGCTGACCGTGCGGATGATACAGGTATTGTTGGTAGTACCCTTGCCAATCTGCACAAAGTCGTCTCTAGGGACAAGGGAGAGGAAGGCTGAAGCTCGGAAGAGAAGCCAGATGGGAATATAGAAGGATGCAGCACAGCCCTCTGCTGAGCAACACTTTGGCTCCCTCAGGTCCCTGATGTGGCTCCACAGCAGGGGGCACAGACTTGACCCCCTTCCTTGTCACTCCTGCGACACAACCCATAGCCCTCATCAGGGAGCTGCTGGCACCACCACCCTCACATTCAAAGAAGCAGCAGAGGTCCAAGGAGGAAAATGACCCACAGAAGACACATTAGGGAGGTATACGCTGCCTTTCACTGCACAGACAGCACTGTCAGTCTCCTTCTGTGGATCAGGGTCAATATATACCTGTGGCACAGTACATCTGGTATGACCAAATGAGGCTAGCAGTGGGAAGCTTGCAGCAGGTGGGCGTAAGGGCCATGGTCTTTGGCTCCCTCCTAGACCTCCCCTATGCACCTGGACAGCTCAGGGAGCTGCACTGTAAGCCATACTCCTTCAGTCAAGCCATCTCCCTCACGTTATCTGTACTGCCCTAGGCAGTAGTCCTTAAACTTTTAGATTCTTGGACTTCTGGGCCTTATGAATGTGCAACCCTAGCTGCCCACAGGGGATGCAGATGCCAGGCTGGGACCACACCTAAGAGTCACTGCTCTAGTGGACCCGGACATTTGGCAGGTCACACTAAAGCCTGGGTCCTTTTTGTCACTCTGGAGGCTGCTTCCTCCCTGCCGGACTAAGCCAGCCTTGTTTGTTTCTTTTTTTTTTTTTTCTCAATATACTTCATTATTTTTATTTTATGTGAGTATATAGCCTGCATGTAAGTAGGTGCACCCATGTTGTACCGTACCAGTGGAGGACAGAAGATTGCATCAGATCCCCTGGAACTGGAGTTAATGGATGGTTGTTAGCCTCCATGTGGGTGCTGGGAATGGAACCCAGGTCCTCCGCAAGAGCAGCCAGTGCTCTTAACCACTGAGCCATCTCTCTAGTCCCTAGTCTTATTTCTTAAAACCACACTTGAAGCTGGGTAAATCTGATATTTAAAGCCACTTTCTAGCTGTGTAGCCCAGGGCAAATGGTTTTACCTCTCTGGCCTCTACAACAGATTAGGTGGGGAGCCAGCAGGATGTCATGAGAGATACCAAGGCCCTGACAGTTCTTTCCCCTTGCTCCCTAGGCCTCCTGATTAGACTTGCTACTTCCCAACCCAGCCTGTATAGTGCAGCGTACCAACTCTTGAAACCCTAAGTAACAAAAACTCATCCTTCCATGGCATCTGCCTCTGTCATTACCCAGTTGGTCCTATGAATTAAATCTAGGCACAACCCAGACCAGCTTTCCTCTGAGAAATGAGAATCACCCATGCCCTACCTGTTAGTGGCAAAGTTGAGGACTGAATTGTGAGCATGGAAGATGTCTCCAGAGTTGTCATGGAAGTGGACAGTAAAGGTCATAGTCATCCCCAGAGGCAGAGCTGTCAGGGCCTCCTTGTGCTGGGTGTGAAGAACGGGGCTCATAGAAATCCTCAGGTAAGAAACAGGAGACACCTGGGGGCGGGTGGGGAGGCAGTGGGCTGACATCAGAGTTTCCAGAGTACCCACCACCCAACACAGAAGGCTAGCCTCTGAAGGAAAACCCAACACAGGTGAGCCAGGATCTATGGCTGAAAACAGGTCATGGTTCTCACAGCAAGGACATCCCCTGAGCTGTGAACTGAATTCAATGTCGAAGGGGGTGTTGCCTCTCACAGCAAGTGGCATTTAAAGTGGAAATAATGCCCCCTGGGTGAAGAGGGGCTGTCACCTGTCTGGAAGGGCACTGGTGAAGGACAACAGCAGGCCTCTTGAGCAATTTCTGAACCTAGACCCCATGAAGGGCAGTCAAACATTTATTCTGATTTTAAGCAAGACTCTCCCCACTGGCCAAAAGCTGCCATCTAAGTCCAAACACACTGAGCAAGTTCACTGCTGCAGGCTGGAACAGGGTGAACACTCAGCACTTTCCCTCACTCAGAAAGCAGGTGGGTGGTGCCTACCCAGCCCCACCTGGAGATGAAACAGGCTGTACCCCAGCCTGATCTGAAGCTTCTGGTGACCATGGGTTCTTTATCCTCTAAGACTCAGGAGATGGAGGCAATGAGACAGGCAAGGAGCAATCCCTGTCCTTGACAGGCACAGAATGGCAAATTAAAGACTTGGGCATGGTGAAAGCTTCTGTGTGCCTTGAGCGAGCCACTTCCACCCCAAGTCAGTTTCTCTTTTGTCAGAGTTGATGCAAGTGTTTTCCTGTCTGGTACTGGGCATACTTCATGCCAGTATGAACTGACTGACCATGACCAGGTCCTGGGTTGACCTGGGCAGGGGCTCAATAGTGGGTGGTGAGAATGTCAGTGGTCATGTGCAGCAAGAAGCACTTCAGCATGCTGGCTAACCCTGCAACTCTGTGACCATAGGTCATTCATGGACCTCATTGTGCCTCAGTCTCCCCTTCTATGAAACAAGGTAGGTAGAATCAATAACTCTCAAGGATCTTTGGCTCTGACAGCCCACAATCTAGCTAGAACCCTTGTCTCTGAATAATTCTTGGATAACTTCCTACCTAGAAGTCCTCATCTAGAGAGTAAATCACTTTATACAGGAGATAAAAGTGTCCCTCTGAGCCACTGCTCTTTTACCTCAAAAGGGAGAAACTCAACCTTACCTTTACAGCCACAATGATGGTTTGGTTGGTGCCAAAAGGCTCCTGGGCAATCACTTCAAGGGTGGACATCCCAATCGCAGAGCCAGACACCAGGAAGCCCTTCTCATCAATGTGCACAACAGGGGCCTTCTCAGGGCCATCTAGGACTCGGTAGCTCAGAATGGCCGCACCATCCCTTGGGGAAACAAGATGATGTTTCACAACACATGGAGGGACTGGGACACAGGCAGGAGCCCAGTGCAGCATCTCAAGATTCCACATCTGCAGCTCTTGGCTGCTTCCAACATTGGCATTGTAGCTCATCGGCACCTCGTGCTGCTGCTGTCTTTAGCCTCATCAGTCACCCACAGACGCCTAATGCAGAAAACCTACGACTTCAAGGAGAGCGGCACACCCCATGGTCAATCGTGACACCATGAGTTTGTTTCATCAGTCACATTTTGTAAAAGATCGTTTCTCTGGTAAATCATTTTTACTTACTGAAACACAGTGGCACTGGTAGCGAACAGAGTGGAGCTTTGAGTCACACAGTCCCAGGGCTAGCCTGCAATTGCTTATGTGGCCCAGAGGCCCTTACTTGCTAGCTGCCACTCAAGTGCAAGTCATGTTAGGAAAGGCATCCCTGGTGAATCCAAGGTGGATCCATGTTTGCAGACAGCCTTTAGAGCAGCGCTTCAAGGTGTCAGTATGTGCCCGTGCTGCCTGGGGATCTTGTTAAAGTGCAGCTTCTCCTTTCTTAGGTCTGGGGTTGGGGCCAGGATTTGCATTTTATCCTGTTCCTCAAGGCCTCTGCTGTTGCTAATTCATGGCTACGCTTTGAGTGGCAAGTCTTGAAAACACAGGGGCATTTAAAAAATTTAACACTTCCAAGTTGGTACTTTTGTCCCTTTTAAAGATTGAATTTCAGCAGTGAGCATGAAAATGATTTAGACTACAGAGAGCAGAAGAAGAACCCAGAAAGGCCATGGAGGAGCCAAACATGCCTGTGGGAATAAAAGGGGGATGCAGCAGTCACCCCAATTCCAGCATACTACCCAGAAAGACTCCCAGAGCACACACCCAGAGAGCCTGACAACTTTGACAAATGGCTTGTCAGATGCAAGTGCAGCTCCCATCCTCATGGAAAACAAGAGCTGAGTCACATACCTGTTTGTCTGGAGCTTTATAAATGAGTTGGGCGACATTAGTATTGGTTCTGCTTCTATTTCAGGGTTCAGCAGTCGCAGCTTTTCAAATACCTGGAAAAGAGGGTGAGCCACATTTCTTATGCCAACCAGAGTCCTATCTGGTCTTTAAGGTGGCAATGAACCTGACAATGTCAGATCAAATCTGATCCAATCACTCACAGTTGCTCTGAGGCCTGGATGGAACTTCAGACCCCTTCTCCACATAGCCTATCCCCAACCTAGTTCCCTTGTCTAAGGCCTCCTAGGGCTGTTGCATTCTACTCTGCTTCCATGGCACATGCCAGATAGCCGACACTATGCCCTGAGCTCCCAGCTTCAGACCAGACCAGCTAGGCTTCCCCAGGGGCCTGAGCAGCTGGACAGTCCAGATGCCGAAGCAGATGGATGGCTGAGGGAAAATGGTCCAACTCCCTCCTTCCCAGGACGTCTGTGCACTATTTCTAGAGCCTGAATTTCCACATCTGCAGCATGGGTTCCTGCTGTGCCTGTCTCTAGAAGCTGTGACCTGAGGTAAATGGCAGCACATTCCAAAGGGAGAATGAAAAATAGACTCAGGGACCCAGGGAGCTTTAATATCAGGGGTGCCCAGGGTAGACACAGAGGCATCTTCATCCAGGCAGGTGGTGCTGAGCACAAAGTGGCCTCCCTGACTGGCTAGGACCCTGTCTCAGTGAGGACAGCCACACAGTCACATGTAGGCTTTCTCCTGTTCCCTTACAGTGTGTTCTCTTGACCTCCCTCTTTAGATGCAGGTGAACTCACTTTACCATCAACTATGAGCAAGAAAAGCAACAATGGGAAGTGGTACCTGTAGGCATGAACCAGGGATTGGTGGGGCCTGTGGCCAATCAGAGAGCAGGGCTCCACTAACAGGCGGCAGTGCTTTACCTGGTGATTTGGCCCAGTGGTGAAAACCATACTTGGAACAAAAGTTTTCCAAAGGCTCAAGTGGGTCAAATAAAATACACCTGAGGGCTGGACTCCATTTCCCTGGCTCGACTTATTCAAACTGCAGTAGCTGTCAGGTAGAGAGGCACAGAACTACTCAGGAAGTCAACTGAGGTTGCAGAGCTTGAAAGCTGCAAAGCCCTGACTACAAGTTGTACTTTCTTCTTAGCCAGGGACTGAAACTGAAAGTGTGTGTGTGTGTGTGTGTGTGTGTGTGTGTGTGTGTGTATGTGTGTGTGCGCGCGCGTCTATGTGTCCCTGGGCATGCATGCCTCTGATGTACATGGATTTGTGTTATCTCTGTGTGTGTGTGTGTGTGTGTGTGTGTGTGTATGTGTGTGTGTGCGCGCGTCTATGTGTACCTGGGCATGCATGCCTCTGGATGTACATGGATTTGTGTAATCTCCTTGTGTTTGTGTGTTAGACACATATGTCTAAGTCTTGTGTGTGCAGGTATCTATGTATCTGTGTGTTTGGGGGTAGGTGCACATACCTGCACATATGTACACAGAAAGGGGTAAGAAAGTTGGGGTAAGAGAGTTGGTAAATGGGTGTTTCTTTCTTTGAAAATCTGTTTCTTTGTCCCTGAGCCTAGCATACATGAGGGGGAGGGAAGGGGAGGAGGCAAAGAAAAATAAAGTTCATTTCTTTTCGATGAGGGGATGTGAATCCTTTCTGCTTTTTCCTTATAGTTAGGAGATGGACACATTCAGTTTTCTTTGCAGCTTAGAAGGACCCAGGGGTTACAGAAACCCAGATCAGCCTAAGATGCTCTTAAATCCTAAACATGCTGTTCAGAGGCAAGTTTGTAACTCTTTTATGTGTGTGGGCACATGTGCATGTTGGTGTGGAGGTCAGAGATTAACTTTGGTGTTGTCTCTTAGGTACCATCTGCTTTGATTTTTGAGACAGAAACTTTCACTGGGACCTGAGGCTCAGAGATTAGTCTGGCTGGCTTGCAAACCTCAAGGATCCTCTGTCTCTGCCTCCTCAGTGCTGGGATTACAACTGCATGCCACCACACTTTGCTTTTTATGTGGGCTCTGGGGGTTGAGCTCAGCTCCTATTTTGTATAACCAACACTTTACTAACAGAGCCATCTTCCTAGCCCAACTTCTCTGTGTTACAGGGCCCAGAGGGGCAAAGGCTCATCCAATAAGCAGGAGGACAGGTTGGAAAGAAACAGGAACAATAAGCTCTGGGCAGAATCTCTGGGCCAGACTGAGTCAGTTTCAGCGGTGGACACAGCCCTCCCTCTCCAAAGCACATGGCACAGCCCATTCAACTTTCACCCACTGTGCCTCTGGTTCATCCACAAGTGGCAGTATCTGCCTGCCTCTTATTAAGAGATTTACAAGTGAATGTTAAATAAATGCAGGTGGTTAAGAGGACAGGCCCAGATCAGACACGGTAAATCTGTGTCCCTATCTCAGGCCCTACCATCAAGACGCACCCAGACCAAGCTTTGACCCAGTGAACTCTTGTCCCTCTCTTGGCCCCTTCAATCAAGGTGGATCCTAAAGAAATGGCCCACCTTAGACATGGTGAGTTCCTGTCCCTACCTTAGTCTCTATCATCAAGATGCACCCAGACCCAAAGCTTAAAGTGAGCTATGTTTCTGGAACACTTTGATATTACCAACCTTTAGGCCTCTGAATAGGTCATTCGTTCCTTGCAAGCCAACCCCTTTCACCTTGCAGTCACTCCTCTGCAGTAGTAGCTAACCCTATCTCTGGCTCCATATGCTTCCCCTCCCTGCTCACCACAAGGAGTTAACCCCTCCATCTCCTCAGCAGCCTGAGAGGTCCTCAGGGCTGGGGAGGGTCCCACCACACAAAGCCCTCATCCTGGAGCTCAGGTCACTGGTACTTCCTTTCCCTCTCTCATGTGGATGAGTCAAGTGCCTCCCTTACCTGGATTTGGATCTCATCTGAGAGCTCTTTGCCGAGGCCATACAGCTGTCCAGCTGTGGGGTCCAGAGCTTTGACCACCACTCTCAGCCCAGTCCGACCTTTGACACAGCCATGCACATCCATAGCAAAGTTGTACTGCGATGACAGTCGAATAGATGCCTGAGAAAAGACACCAAACAGGTTTCTAACAAAGAGGCTCAGGCCCTCAGTATCCCTAGAAGGGTAGGAGTAAATGGGTAGATACAGTGGCCCTGATTCCTCAGCTCTTGAGTCCTAATGGATAGCTGCCTGACTGTTTCTCAAAGGCCACTGTTTTTCTTCCAGGGTCAGATCAGCTAACCCAGATCTGGATGGGACTCTTCCTGGAACATTCTGGAACTTGAGTGACTGACTTATAAGGTGGCTAATCTTGCTGCTTTCTATTTTTTGTCATCTGCAGCTATGGCATGACTGTAGTTTGTCAACCAAAGGTTCCTGTGTTTTAAGTGTAGGGACAAGAGATAATGGAACCAGTATGGCAGGGCTCAGAGCAAGAGAACTGAGTTGTTGGGGACACCAGCCTCAAAGAGATTATGAGGGCCTCTGAGGGACTCTTGTTAATTCCCGTACATGTATTAATTAAAAAAGAAAAAGACCAAACTGTTCCCTCTCCACGGCCTGGTTTCCTGTTTCATCATGCACTCTCTCTGCATCCTACCATGATGTGTCCCTCCATGCTTTGAGTGACCAGCAGGTCCTCACCAGGGCAGTACCCTTGTGGTGCCACACCACTGGACCTTTGAAATTGTGAGCCAAACAACCTCCTTTTCTCCATGAGGTACCCAGCCTTGGGTATTTTGTTAAGGGAACAGAACAGCTACAAACATACCACCTCTAAGCCCAGCTACAGTGGTTAATGTTTAGGAGAAGGGGGCCCTGATGAAAGGACAAGAAGGAGCCAAGCAGGCCCACTCTGAAGTATAGACTCCTGTAAGACGAGTGGTGGAACCCTCATTCACAAGGGTGCTGGCTCAGGCAGAGCTGGGGAGCTCTGAGTGGTTACCTCATGGTGCCGCCCTCGGAGGTCTAGGATGTCCCGCTTGGTGACAGTCCAGTGGAAGGTCAGGCCCGGCACAGCATTACCAAAGGAGAAAGGACTCTGGTTGCTAGTGATCCCGGTGATGTAGACAGGCATCTAGGGGAAGCCAGGCCCTGTGACTGCTGGTTCACCCTGCAGTCACCCCACCCCAAAGCAGTCCACCTTCTTTGTGCTCCAGTTTTCTCTAACCAGACTAGGACACAGCAGAGCATCAGGAAGGTTTGCCACATACCAAACAATGCAAGCAGAGGGCAGACTAAACCCACCCTCCCTGTCACTGCCCATGGTGAGTATGCGGTTCCTTTCTGAAATGGGCCTGGGAGCTTCAGGATACCTGAGGTTGTTTCTCAGGATATAAGCTCACAAACCCTTGGGCCTCTCTCCTAATCTATCAGGAGACCCTGCTCTTGGGGATGGACCTAAGGTTGTCCACCAGCTCTTTCAATCTGTGTTTGCTGAGTGCATGCCTAGAGTGCACTGGTGAAGGTAATGGGGCTAAAGGCAAAAACCAGAGGCCAAGCCAGGGTGATTCCCAGTCTACCACTTACTGTGTCCCTCTCTAGCCTCGGGGCACTTGTTCATGCATCAAAAACAGTGGGGAAAAGATTATCAGGAATATGCACAGACTTTTTCTTGTCTTTATTCTCTATACAATACAGCTGACAGCCATGAAGAAGCACTCACAGCATATTAGGTGCTATAAGCCATCCAGAGTTGACTGAAAGTACAGAGATTTGTGCATCCTTAGATACCAAAGGATCATGTCCAGCTGGGTGACCTTGGGCAGTATGCCACCTTTCTGCTCATCTGTGATACGGTGCTGACTCTGACTCCGTCTCTATTGTTAAGAGCACCCAAGGGGATGAGTATATAGGGCATATACCATGGAGCGAGTTTATAGACCTGTGAGCTCCTGTGCCAGCAGCCTAGCTGTTGAAAGGCAGTGGCCTTGTGGGCAAGCAGGTACCAGTAAAGAAGGGTATAAACACAGTTTGGGGGATGAGTGCTACACTTGTACTATACCCCCAAACTGATCAGAGTCCCATAGACAAACAGGCTTTGCAGGTGAAGATGTTCTAACAGTGACCCTTTCAGAACCTGGGTACAGAGTCTAAAGCCTCCCATCCCATCAGGCTCCCATCTCACCTGGGTCCCAGTCCTCATTCGTGTGATGGGGGCCCTGATCCTCACAGACTGGAGTTGCAGCACCTCTACCTCCACATGATCCTAGAAGAGAGCTGGGCTCAGGCTGGCCAGGGTAATGGGAAGGGCCCTCAAGGGGAAGGAGGCATCTGCTTAGGCACGACAAGGTGTCTAGAGGCACAATCCTACCTGAGAAGGCCTGGCTTTGGGGATGTTTTCCCCACACCCTGAGAGTCCCAGTCTGGCCCTGGGCCTGCAGATCTCAGCACTGCAGACTGGGAATCAGGGACCAGCGTTTGCACTTTTCTAGGTGGACCTCTCAAGATGGGTCTCCAGACCTTCCCAACCCTGCACTCAGCTCAGAGTACAGGAACCAGGTCAAGTCTGATGGAAGCAAACCTTATACCTTCCTTTATTCTGAACTCTATACTGGCTTCCTCAGGCACTTTTGACTCATGCTGGGCTCAAACACAAGTCTAGCCCTCTACACATGTGCCCTTACTGAGCCCATCTCCCTTCTCTGCTAGTGCCTATGATCTGGACAAATGCCTGTTCCACAGCAGGGGTCCAGTAAGTCTTCAGTCTTTCCTTTCCTTCATCCTTCTCACTGTTCAGTCCCTGATGGTCCTGGACCACCCACTGGCCTTGGGATGCTTCTGATTCCTTGAGCACTGGACAGATGCAACAGGTGGAACAGCATCTGACAGAATCATATGCCCAGTGTGGATATGAAAGCCACAGGCTGAGCCCCTGCCTTCTCCTGGCCAGGTCTATGCTCTCTGGCTCATGGGAGGGGAAAAAAGAGCCCATTCTTGAAGCCACAATCCTGTCTACAGAGAAAACAGAGCAGGGTGTCTTGGGGTCCTTCATTTCACTTTCTGGGAGGCTTGCAGGAACTCCGACAATTGCCAGAATGGTCTCATATGCTTGGTCCTTTCTTGCTGCCTTCATAAAATTGATATACAAAATTGGGGTAGCCGCCTCTGCTATTCAAAAAGACTTTGTGGTTTAACTAGGATTCTTGAAGGCAGATGCTGAAACTGCTAGAAAAAGAAGCCAATCAATGAACTCAATGTTGGATCAGAGTCAGCCTTAGGGAACCAAGACTGCCAGGCCCCTTGAGAGCAGCCACTCATGGGCATGTGCTTAGACACTCCCAGCATAGATGAGTGCATAGGCTGCCTGCCAGAGACCTCCTGGAGAGGGACAGAGTGACTGAGAACCTAAATAAACTTGCCACTGTCATACCGCACACCATACAGGCTCTTTGTAACTGTGGGTGGAACCACAGCGGTCTTCCTGAGTTGCGTGTGTGAGCCGCTGCAGTAAAGGCTGTCAGGGAGAATCCAAATGCCCTTAGTGGTTTTATCTGACAAATCTGACAAGGGAAGCTGCCAGTCTTTGGAAACTGACTTTCACTTGCTGGAAGCAGTCCATCACTGGTATGGGGTGGGAAGACTTCCCTCCTGGGGAGAAGACTGCTCCAACTGGACCTTTTAGCTTTCTGGAATGCTGACCCGGAAAAGAAATTGGGTAATGAGCCCACCTCAGCAAAGAGCCTGGGAGGTCACAAGAGTCAGTGGCTAAGCAAGAGACCAGGGGATGACTACAATAGAATCCCCGGTTTGACAGGCTGCAGGCGCCCTGACCATGCTTCCAGCACCCACCTATGAAATCAGGTACACTGTCATACCCTTCCCTTCCATAGGCACATGTGTAGGTACTGCTGCAGGTAACACACAAAAGACCCTGAACTCTGACCTCAGGCAATCCTGAGCCAAGGCTCAAATCTACCATGATGGCCTTGGGCCACTAGTGGGTTGTTTACACAACTGATCTGCAACAGGGGACAGTAGCCAAACACATACAGAGGAATCCAAAGCATGGAGGTGAGTGTTTCCCCAACACAAGTGCCCTCATTATATACTGCAGAGCCTATGGGGCTGGAGATCTCATCCCATAGAGCAGATGGAAGAACCTGGGAAGCTCAGCCTGGAGAAGAGCAACCTCAGGTCTAGGTGTCCTTGAGGAGGCAGAACCCAAACCCAATAGACAGATGGCCATACCAAAGCCACTGCCAGTGGCACACCTGATACCTGAGAGACGATGATGATCTTGCCAGTCTCTGCATCCACTGCCTGTACGACCCCCAACACTGAGCCATTGCCAACTGTGAGCCCACGCACCAGCCCAGAGCTGCTCACTGCTGCCACACTCTCGTTGCTGATGGAGAAGAGGATGTTGGATTGGGGCTGAGGGCCACCCTCGGAGGTGATCTGAGGGTGAGAAACAGGATCCCATCAGCACCTGCCATGCTGGGCAGCCCAGACCTCATCCCACGAAGGTGAGGATGCCAACAAGAAGGCTAGTGTCTCCACTCATCCCCCCATCAGGCCAGGCTAGAGACCTGCAGTGGCTCCTACCTGCATCATGGCCCCAATTATCAGTGTCATCTTCCTGGGTATCAATCTGAATGGAGGGAAGACCTAAGGTGTGGAGAAAGAAGACAGAGGTGCTGATGTCTGCAAGCTGATGAACTGCACATGAATAATGGGTATATATGTCCCTCCACCGAAGGATGACTGTGAAGTCAGAGTACCTAGACCAGTGCTGGGAAAGCCTATGACCTCAGGCCTCATGAAATAAGAACTTTTGATCCATCAGAGTCATACCCTAGAGCTGCAATTCTCAAGATATGGTCTCCAACCAGCAACACCATACCTCCTGATGGGACATTGGTGACTTGTTAGGAATTCTATGGTCTGGTCTATACTAGACTTATGGAGTCAGAGTTAAGGTCCTGCCACCTGGGGTCTAACAAACACTCTCAGAGATGGTGATGCCTGTAAAAGCTGTGTCTGATTCTTGTCTTCAGAATTCTCTGACACCTCTTTGGAAAGCTGCTTCTTTCACCACTGAAAGAAAACTGTCTTGGAATACAGCTCTAGTTCAACAGCCTCAACATTTTCCTATAGGAAGAGGGGCTCAGGAGTAGTCACTAGCCAGGGTGGATACCCCCATCTCTGTAGCAGGGCAAAAGCCCATATCCTTGCTCTGCAGCCCCCACAAGTGCCTGCTTGGCAAGCATGTAAGAAGTGCTCCAAGGTGAGCAGGCAAGACTACTTTGTGAGTGAGGATTAGTCTCGGTAGGCCCGTGCTATTTATAGGCAGAAACGAATTCCTCACCACCAGTAGGAGGAAAGCACACTTCCATCTGGAGGCACAAACCGCCTCCACTGGCTTTGGAAGGAAGATCAATGAAGCTTGCCATCCCTGCATGGCGGAGGCCTGTGGAAGATGCTGGCAGGAGCCAGCAAGGTGCTACTGCTGGTGAATGCTTGGATATTCTTGGGCAGGGTGTCTCAGCCCTAACTGCCTTGGCCTCTGCCTACAGTGGAGTCCCTGTGAAAAACTAGATGCAGAACAGTCACATGGTGCAGGAACCTTAGAGCTCAGCTGATCCAGAACGGCCTGCCCCAGGATCTGCCTTTCTGACTACCCCTGCCTGCAAAACCTTAGAGACAGGTGCTCACTGCTCTCCTGGACCTGGGTTAAGGCTCAGAACCTGACACTACCTGTAGAGTTAGCTTTACATGAGCCAAAACTGGTCTACAGCCTCCATGTGGTCACGGTTCTCTGGGAAGAGTACCCTGCCTGTCCCTTTGTCATGTGACAAAGCACAGTATTTCTCTGAACCAGCTGGGCCCCTATACTACACAAGAAAGTCACTGTCCCTCAGATTCTCTCCAGTTCTGCATCTGACTGCTGCCTTTTGATCAGAGGACATGCTAAGGCACAGATTTCAATGTGGCTTGTTCTTTCGGTGGCTTCCTGGATGGTGGCTGAAACCCTGGCCTATTACAACATGCTCTATCAGGGTGGAGCCAGCACAACAAAAGGAACAGTGTTACCTCAATCTGCTGCGGGGTGGAGCTGACTCTATGTCCGCCTTTGTCAGTCACACTTGCAGACAGGCTGGTCTGCCCAATGGTCACACCATGCACAAGAAATGTGGCCGTGTAGTTGTCCAGGGCTTCGTCCAGAGCTCTGAAATGAAGGAAGGGTTAGGATTCCTCCTCCAAGGGAGACTGGCTTAAGAAACGAGGATGGGAATTAGCTCTGTCCCCAAAACACCCTGGACCCTGCAAGAACTCACACCAGTGTGACAATCTGTGAGGCTGCTCGGAGCTTCAGGCCCATGAAGGAGAAGTACTTGGCCAGGAAAGGTTTCTTGTGGAAGTCCAACACACGAACATAGGCCTTGACTGCTTTCCCGATCTCTACCTGCAGTGTGGGGCACAGGCTCAGGAGTGGTTTCTCAATGATCCTTTTCCCCCCGACATGTGGCCTTCTGGGAATTCAGACCTTGGGAACTGGGGACAAGTCACCCAGAATGACATCTGAACTGAGCCAATCAACAAGTGAAAATGATGAAGTGCTTACTATAAATAATGGGGGATTGAGCACAGCAAGGGGCACGGACTCTACTCCCTGCTAGTAGACAACCTTAGGGAGATAGGAGACAGCTTAGAACAGCATGGGCACTCAGGGAAAAGTTCACATCTGGGAATACATAATGTATACACTAAGCACTATAGGAAAGGAGAGACCAGAATACCTAGTGAAGAAAGAGAAATCTAGTAAACAAAAGAAATAAAACAAAGACCACTGAAGGAGAGCTAGCTGAGTTGGCACTTGGGAGACTGAGTCAGAAGGATCAACAGTTCTCAGTCTACCTGGGATACATAGTGAATCTACCTAAAAAAAAATTATCAGAGGACAATTTTAGCTTTTGGACTAACGATACTTTTTCACTAACACCCCCTTCCCACACACACCTTTTTGTTGCTGTTGTTTTGAGACAGGGTCTCCCTTGTACCCCAGCTGGCCTGGAACTCCCTATGTAGACCAGGCTGGCCTCAATCTCAGAGACCCACCTGCCCCTGTCTCCCAAGTGCTGAGATTAAAGTGTACACCACCACACTCAGCTGAACATTCCCCTTTTAATCACTAACCTTTTCATCTACTCAAGAAAAGAGGGGCCTGACAATAACCTCAGGAAGCCTACCTTCAGTCACCTCAGCTTTGTGAAATCATAGATCCTTGTTCACATAAAAGGAAAACCTACATCTATTATTTATCCACACATCAAAAGAGTACTTGGCAGTACCGAGTTTTACTGAAATTGTGAAGGATCCTCATCCTACATTCTGGGGCAAAAATCCATGCTCAGCAAGGTGTGTGCCAGGCTGGTAAGTAACCTACATGAGCCAAAGGACATGAATTCCCAAGTCAAGGCTAATTTAGTCAACTTCAGGCAGGATTTACTGCCAAGCCCTGCTGATGTCAATTGGGATGAAGAAATACAACAGGGGACATCAGCCTGTACTGCTTACACAGGACAGAGGAGTCAGAGAAGGCATTGCAAGCTCACTCAGGAGGGGGTAGCCCAGGGCTTGCTTCACTGTCCCTGTTTTTGGTGAATCAGCAGAGAGGGGTCACATGGAGAACACGGTACTGACCTTGTCCACCACATGGACATAGAGCTCCTGTATGTCCGAGACATGAATGATGGCTTTCGCTGGGGCTGGGAAGACCAGGCACAGGTCGTGGATCATGACAGTCGATGAGCCTGGGAGCAGAGGGTGTACCTGCAAGATGGAGGTAGGTGGGGTTACAAGGCTGCAGCTCCTACTTTTGCTCAGAGGACTTCAAGTAGTAGCTATTTTCCCTCCTCTGAGATGCCAGCACCAAGGGACTTCCTGGTCAGCACTCCAAAGACGTGGACACAGAAGATTCTCCTCAGAAGCCCTGGCTAAGGATAGAGTGTCAGTGGTAGAAGGACCTCAAACAGCATTTATCTCAATTGTGTGCATTTTACAAAGAGGAAAAAAAGCAAGGTGCTCAAAATGTGGTAGTAGGGGACACTCAATGGCTTTGGAGCACACATAAAAACCTAGGGGCACAGTAAGGATTCAAACCCAGGATGACGTATCCTGGCCAGGCGAGGTGGTCCTGACGGAAGCCCAGTCATGTGCAAACCAGGGGTTGGTAGACCAGGAGGCAATTGCTTCCAAAGGAGTTCTGGTCTGAACTCACAGCATCACAGAACCTGGCACCAGACCATCCAGGTCACTCCTGAGCGATTGGGATCCTACTCATCTCTGCAACCGGCTCTACTTGAAGCAGTGACCTCCTGAGAAGTTCTAAGTGAATGAACAAACCCAAGGTAGTGTTTCCCAGTCTTTTAGAACAGGTCTCCTTTAATCCTTCTTTCCACCTATGTAGCTCCAGAGATCTCCTAACAAACTGCAGTTCCAACCACTTGCTTAGCTGTAGGTGTTCCCCACCTACGCCAATCAAACAGGGACTTAGCGAAACTCATCCCTTAGGCAGGTATTTCAGCTGGGCAGTTTCCAAGCTGGGTGGGCAGGGCAGGGAGCTACAGCTCAGCTGCTGCTTCATAACCTTACCTAACTTTGTTGCTTGCACTTTGACCACTCACAACAGGCAGCTCAGCATTTGCAAAGCTAGAATTTTAATACTAAAAACTTGTGAGGGGAAAAAAGTATTAGGTTTTAAACCAAAGGGAGACAAGCAACAGTGTTTCACACTCTCATGAAAACATTCATGTTGCCCGGTGCTCTGACAGAACCCAGATCTGTAAGCCCCATGAAGCCTGACCTGGTCTAGCCGGTAACTCCAGTTGCTCCAAAGCTGCGCTCTGTGAGTGCTCTAACTGTCCTCTCCTATCCTCATGCCCAGCGAGTGCCTGTCTGTTTGTCTGCCCACCCCAAGACCGTCTCAGACTACAAGATTTGGAACTCTGGGGCTGGGCTGTGGCTCAGGCTATAGCACTTACCTAACCTACACAAGGCCCTACACATAAAAACAAAATAACGGAAAGTTTTAGGACTGTTGTTCCTCTAACCTTCATGTGTGGGCTCCAATTTCAGGTCTGGCTCCCTCACCAGATGATTAGGCTCCTCCCTCAGTTGTGCTGACTTGTTTGAAATTATTCAGCTTGCCTTCCCCCTCCAGGCTGACTTCTACCATCCAGTAAACTCCAGACAGAGCCTGGTGTCTGGCACTAGTGGACCACACCTAACCCCCACGCCTTGATTAGACAGAGGCCACAACTCTGATTAAGTCTGAGAAAGCACAGAAACCAAGCACTTCAGTCTGTATAGAGTTAACCTAGCTTAGTGAAGAATGGGGAATTTTGGACCTGGAGAGACAGTTCAGCAGTTAATAAAGAGCCTTGGCTGCTCTTGCAGAGGACCCAGGTTCAGTTCCCGGAACCCACACAGTGGCTAACCACCATCGGTAACTCCAGTTCCAGGGGATCTGACACCCTCTTCTGACCTCTGTAGGCACTGCACTTTATACATATGCAGGCAATATACTCATACACATAAATACATTAAAAAAAAAAAGCCCTCCCACTCAGGGACCATTGTGGAAGAGGGGGCAGGAAGATTGTAAGAGCTAGGGAGGAGGTGCATGACCATACAGAAATGGTCCTACAGGCACCTGGGACCCTTCTCATACAAACCTCCAGCAATGGTGTCAGCCTGCACAAGACACATGCAAACTTAGGCAGACAAAAACCCAGCACAGAACTGTGGAAATGTCCAGCAAGCCCCAATCTTAGTTAAAGAATTGTTGGCAGCTGATTACTGCTGGGTGAGGAAGAGCTGATTTTCTTGAAGGGAGACTCTAGATAGGCTAACTAAACCCTGGTGGATGAACTTGCACTGAGTGACATCTTGGGACACTAACTTTACATAATAGGCCTTAACACAAATGACAGAATGTATGAACTCCATTGAGGGAGCTATGGGAGGGTGCCAAAGGGGAAGGGGGTATAAAGATAATTTTATGTATGAAATACACAAAATTTCAATAAATTTATTAATTTATTTTTTGTCTTTTTGAGACAGGGTCTCCTTGTAGCCCCAGCTGTCCTGGAACTCACTATGTAGATCAGGCTGGCCTGCAACTCACAGAGATCTGCCTGCCTCTGCCTCCCAAGTGCTGGGATTAAAGGCATGTACCACCACACCTGGCAATAAATTTATTTTTTAAAAAAAGCCCTCACTGCTCCTGCAGAGGACCTGGATTTGATTCCCAGCACCCATATTGTGGTTCACATCCATCTGTAGCTCCAGTTCCAGGGGATCCAATGTGCTCTTCTGGACTCCACAGACACCAGGCATACATGCAGGCAAACACTCATACACATAAAAAATAAAAATAAATAAATCTTAAAAAAAAAACAAAGAATGGGAAGTTCTGAAGAAATTCTTCAGAGACAACATACCCTACAGATTCTGATCCAATCTTTCAAGGTTCAGGAGAGTAAACCAGGCCCCAAAGACACAGCAGAGGGCAGAGCTGGTGACCCAACCCAGGTGGCTTAGTTCCCTATTCAGGCTACTTCCTAGGGAACAGGGCCTCTAGCCACCAGAACAGGACTTTCAGGCAGGAGAGTAAAAGCGCGGGGGGGGGGGGGGGCTAGTAGGGAAAAGTCAAACAGAGAGGTGAAGCTCACAGGTAGCTAGGGATGGACAGAATTGGAAAGCTGGCCCAGCTCAGGTGTAACTGGGCTCCGGTGCATACTCAAACAGATGAGGTGGGCCTGGCCTATTTAATATGATGAATTAAAATAGATTAGGAAAGATCTCAGGGTAGGAATCAAGCTTACATCCTAAAATGATGGCCATCAGCCTGGCATTACATATGGGTGGAGGAGCCATCAGGCATCTAGCTTTGCTGAGGATGGTTATTATGTTTCACCTAAAGAAAGCTCTACGAGGAATGGGAGCTCTCTAAGGACCCAATAAGACACCCCGGTCTAATGCTCACACAGGAGTTGCTGCTGTCAGGAGCTGGCATGTCCTTCATAACATGAGGAGATTACACAGACCCACTGCTGACATACCCACGAGGGGAATGCAGACGTGGATGGGTTTTTCATTTTCTTTTTTTCCCCTGTCCTTCAAAACGACCATTTTGCACATTTTAAACAAAGTCATAAAATGGCAATGGGGAACTCAATTCCTCTTCTGCTTGGCTTCCCAGAGGATGGACATCTAGCTGCCCTCAGATGACAAAAGTGGAGGACGGCGCCAGGCTGCATGGGAGAAGCAGCACGACCTGCCTGCTCCACTCCTGGCATGCACCAATTCACTTTGCTTCCTAACAATGCTTTGAAGGCCAGCACTTGAGGTCACTTTGGAAACAAAGAAATGGTGCCAAGGGAAGTAGCGAGCTGGCCACTAGCTGGTAGTCAAGTGTGCACCCGGTCCCACTCCTCAGTAGACTATGCAAGGGGTTCACACTTCTGTGCCTATGGCCCACATGCTTCTTGACGACATTCAAGAACACTGTGACAAGGTGGTGGGGTGTCTGACATGAATTCTCATTTCTAAGTATTAAAAGTGCCACCTCAGAACGTCAGCAAACACTGAGCCCAGGGGAAAGTCCTGTCATCAATTTGGAGACAATGAATGCATTACTGCTCATTAAGAAACCGTGTTGCCACGGGCTCACCAGGCCCCCTTCCAGGGCCCTGTTCACACTTCAAACTTGTGAAGATGACATCTGTAGATGAGCAGAGACCCTAGTGATACTTCTGTCATTGAGGCTGGCAGCTTCTTTCTTCTCGGGTGTGCTCACCATTGTCCTGCAGTAGACCAAACCAAGCATGCAAGAGGGTTGGAACCTACACCTATAATCAATCACCCCACAGCCTACAGGGATGATCAGAACTCACGTGAAAACCAAAGGCACTGACAAGTCTCAGCTTGGATGCTGACCATGCAATGGTCAGTCCCACAAGTTCCCTGAGGATCAGGGCAGGGGCTAGGCACCCCACCAGCATTCACAGAGCAGCCTCACAGAAGATGCAGCGCACACCTGAGTTCAAGCCCTGCAGCTGCTATGTCCTACCTACCTCATCCCTGATAAGCCTCTGCAGATTCCCATGGCACCATGGCCAGTCACACACTGCAGTACCAAGGAGGCCAAAACCACCACTATGGCTCATCAGAACAAAGCCTGCCTGTCTTATTCCTTGTCACCACCATACTCTGGCACTTAGCACAGTGCCTGGTACAAAAAAGAGGCACTAAACTTTGTTGAATGAACACAGCAAAGATAAGTGTCAAAAGCTCAGCATACACCCAGCTCTCAATGATACAGGAAGAAACCCTGTTTAAATCAGGTAAACACTCCAATATGCAAGCCAGTCAAAAACAAAATAAAGGCCCCTTGCAGAGGGTTCTGGGGCCTGTGTGAGCAAAACTAATCAGTCTTGCACAGCCTGTGGTTCATTGTGTGGGCATGGAAACCTCACCACAGCCTGCTGTGTGCACCACATACTCACATCTCTTCCAAAGACACTGGGAAGCCATTCTTGAGTCTCAACTGCGTATCAATAGGGAAGAAGGAAGCATTGTCTAGGAGCTCCATGAAAGGCTGTGGGCTTTCTTGTCTGTGCTGAAGGGAAATGAGAATGCTGCTAATTAGCAGCTGCAAAATGCCAAAGAAATGTGCAAATGTGTCCTTCAGAGACAGCCCTCTGAAGGAAGCTGGGAGTGCCCGTCACAGCCCATCAACACTCTGAAAGATCCTGCAGGTTCTGGGA